GGGTTCTTGGCTCTACTTCTGCCTGCCTTTGCCCCTCCCCGCCCACCTGGAATCCCACTCCCTTCCACATTGAAGACCTGAAACGCCACCTGATTGGCTGAATGGAGCTACAGCTCCCTTGCTGGGCCAAGCAGGAACCAGACGGTCCCCTCTTACCATGGCCACAGAGAGAAAGTGGCTCCTGGGAAATAGCCACAGCTCATCTGAGTTACTGGGGTGGACTGTATATGGGGTTCCCTGAAATGGGCTAGACTCCCCCTAAGTACACATGCTACCCAAGTCTAGCATATGTGCACACACACACACACACACACACACACACACACCCTTCCTCCTCCAGGAAGCCTTCTCAGATCGGCCCAAACACATTTCTAGGCTCCAGCACAACCACTCCAAAATGAGTACCTTGATATGTAGTAGCACCTATTTCCTGCTGTGATATGGGGGCTCAAAGCCGTGAAAGGGGCTCAGGGTGTATTATGGGCTGAATTGTGCCCCTTCCACAATTACCATGTTGAAGCCCTAACCCTCAAAGCAACTGTATTTGGAGATATGGCCTTTATGGAAATAATAAAGGTTAAACTTGGTCCTAAGGATGGAGCCCTAGTTGGAGGGCTGGTGTCCTCATAAGAAGTAAAGAGACACCAGAGATTGCTGTCTCTCTCTCTCTATGAGCACAGAGGAAAGGCCCTGTGAGGACACAGCAGGAAGGCAGCCATCTACAAGCCAGGAAAAGAGGTCTCACCAGAAACTCATCCTGAGACTTCCAGCCTCCAGAACTGTGAGAAAATAAATTCTGTTGTTAAAGCCCCTGAGCCTGTGTCATTTTCTCATGGCAACCTGAGTCGTGGCTAATATCGGGCGGGTGATCAAAAGAACAAAGTTTGAGGCTTAGTTCTGTCATTTATAAGCTCAGTGATCTGTGACAAATCCCTTGGCCTCAGTTTCCTGGTCTGTGAAATGGAGCTACTGACCCTCTACCCTGCCTCCCTGAGACGCCTATGGAGGTCCAGGGAGAAGGTGGCCCCACTGTAGGGTAGGCGGGCCTGGGCCGGGGTGTGAGATGGACATGAGGCCAATCCTGGCCCCACCACTCATCTTCTGGGTGACCCCAGACAGATCACATGATCAGGGCAGCTGGCATAAGCAGAGCATTTGCTATGTACCAGGCACAATCAGCTGAGCCATGGCAATGAGAACCCTGCTGTTCGTGGGAGTGACAGCCACCTGCTACAGTGGGCACAGCACCCAAGTCAGGACCAGCCATGCCCTCTGGGCAGCCACCCCGGAATGCTGCCTCCCAGCCCTCACCACTGTTGGCCCCAGAACACTGGCTGGTGCTCCAGGAACTGGGGAGAGCTGGCCCTTTGCTCCTTCCCACTGCACAATGGGGAAATCAGCCGGGGCCTTGGAAGAAGGGGCCAAAGCATTCCAGGCCATCTGCAGCAATGTCCAAAGCTCATATACTTTCCACGCTGAGGCCTCTCCCCTTGGGGTGTCATTGACGCAGCCACCCCAAGGGGATGGGAACTCCTCAGCAGACACTGCCCAGCCTGGCTCAGAAGGCTGCCTCAACACCCATCTAAAATCCAGTCCCCAAGGGGCCAGGGCATATGCGTGAAGAAGCAGCCCCCCACCCACCCGCCACCCACATGCGGATGTTGTGGCTGCTGAAGATGGGAAGCCCTGACTCACCGCATGGCCATGTCGGCAGGCAGGGAGGTGAGTGGCCGGCAGGGAACCAAGGGCCCCTTGCTCGCATGGAAAGAAACACCTGCAGAGCAGTAAATGGTGGGCGCCGGCACAGGGGTGCCGAGTTTGAGCTGCTATCGCTAACACTGAACGAATTTCAGGACACAGATCTCTGGAGAACAGCCAGGTGTGCACCAGAATGGAACATTCCCCACCAGGGCTGGAGGGACGCCCTCCCTGTTATGGGCCACAGCCCCTGCAACATCTCCCAGAGTGCAGGCACCTCAGTGAGCCACTCCCACGTGTGCCTCAGCCACCATCTCCCGGGGGCAGATCTGTACACATGACACAGGTCCTTCCGAAGGCGCTTCCTCCTTGTGCTGGGATGGTCTCGGACTTCAGGGAATTTGCCCAGAGAAAGGGAACAGCTTCCAAAGGCAGTGGAAGGCCACAGCCCACCCTGTCTCCCGTTCGCTGCTTTATCTTCACAGTATAAATAAGCTTCGCCTACATTTATGGTTACGTTGGTCAAACCCTATTCCCCAGCCAGCTCTGCTCTGTCATTTAAAAGGAAAAAAAACACCACTCAGATCACTTTCATTACCTTGGATAGGGCGAAGCATTTGGCATCAACTTCACTCCGCCTGGGCTCTGGGCTCTGGTTGGCCACCACCCCCTTTCACACCCCACTGGTTATTAAGAATTTTTCACTTCCCTAGCCAGGTTTCACCCACATGCTGTTCTTCTGTGGGCGTGGAAGCTCCTTGTCCTGGGGCTGGGTCTCTGCTGACAAAGCCGTGGAGGTATTATGAGACAGCCTGGAACTGGTAGGTTGTGAAAGGGAGGGCTGGCCGTGCAAATTTCAGTAAAGCAAAGCCTTTTTCCTTTTGTCAGTTCTGAGAAAGGTTCTCATACGAGAAGACAAATCCCCCCATAGGCTGTGTTGAAAGCTTGTGACAAGAGGGGTCAGTGGTGGCTTAGGCTAGGCCTTGGCACACAGAGGGCTGGGGTTCAGTTTTGTTGTTTGTTTTTATTATTTTTGATAGTTCTCTCAATTCTAGACCCTTCCGTGTTGATGGTTCTGGGGCATAAATGGAAATAAGCCTAGGATCAAAGGAGAGAGAAGGAGCTGGAAGGGCCCAAAGTGTCTCAAAATTTGGATTTAGGCCATGCTGGGAGTAGACACCCAGGCATAGTAAAGGGGGTACTCTGATAGGGCATCGGGCAAACAGGACTTGAGCAAGATCAAACTTGGAAATCAGACAGGACCCCAGAAATCAAGAGGCATGAACACGGTCTAAAGTCCAAACCTGGGCATTGACAGCAGTGGAAGGAATACGGCAGTGGGACCAGTGGAAGAGCTTGGGGTTGACACCAGAATAGCTCAGCCTGTCCAGCCCTGACATGGCTCCTATGGGACAGAAACCATCGTCAGCAGACCCATTCTGGGCCAGATATTGTAGCTAGGACTACATTCTCTGGCGAACTTTTTAAAATTATAAAATTCTGGGCCCAGAGACTCTTGATTCCATAAAGCCTTAGAACTATTTATTTCTTAAATGCTCCAAGGTGGCTCTGATATTAGGCTCTGCCCTGGGCTCCCAGTTGAAACCACTAATTTTCCATCTAACCGAGGAAGAGGGTGCATAGGCAATGGAAATTTCACTATGTCTTTTTTGAGTTGCCCTCTGTTTTGTCTAAGAATGCCTGTCTATGCCTGTTATAATGTCATATTCTGCCTGACAGAATTTGCTCTTTTCTATGTCCTTTTTGGTATGAATACAGTATTTACTCTTGCTGGTCATTTGTTCCATACAGCTGTGTTGCAATATCCCCGGTGTTCAGTAGGTGTCGCTGTATCACAGGATGAACACGACCCAGTCCTGAAATTCTTCCAGGTCCCTGTTCTCCAGCCTGCACACAGGTTAGTACCGTTCTCCATCAGTCCTCCAGATTTAAAAGTTTCTATCTTGAATTATCTTAGAATGAAGAATAAGTATGAATGAAGTTATAGAAGAATAACTTATAATGAACAATCACCGCCATTTGTTTCTCAGAGCCCAGGAAATGATATTTCACAAGGATTGTCTCCGTCTCTCTCCCACTTTTGTGCCCTCTCCTACAATGGAGGTTCTCAAACTTCATGGCCTCAGGAAATTGTCACACCTCTAGAAATTATCAACATCCCCCCCCCAACTGCTTTTGTTTATGTGGGTTATATCTATTAATACTTTCCATATTAGAAAATAAAATTGAGAAAAAATGCAAACACAGGAATACACAAGCATATATATTCTGTTAACTGTTCAAGTGATGATATCATCTTGTGTCAAATGGGCTCTAGAAATTTCTGCACTTGTGAGAGAATAAGAGTGAAAAAAGAGAATAGTACCGTTATGGGTTATTATGTATCATTATGAACACAGTTTCCATCTTGCTTAAAGAGTCTCAGGGACCCCGGAGAGTCCCAATTCACATTTAGAAACTGCTACTCTATCAGTTTTGAAGTTTTGCTCTCTGTTCTTAACAAATCTGAGGTTAATCAATATTTGCTTCTGAAAGACAGAGTTTCAAATGCTTTAATTCTGATTATTCCACCTTCATTTTTTAAAGTTTTCTTCCTCACCTTTTATATGCTTTGCCATTTTTATAGCCTCTTCTTCCTTGTTCATATTTCCAAGTCTCTCTTATACTTCTTAAAATATACCTATATCCCATATGCTCTTCGTGCAATGTGACTGAGGCCCCGCCCCCTGCCAAGGGCTGGTGTCTCTGTTCCCTCTCTTTGAATCTGGGTAGGGGTTTGTCACTACTCCAATGAGTAGAATGTGGCGAAGGTGATGCTTTGTGATTTCTGAGGCTGGGTCACAAAAGGGATGTAGCTCCTGCTTCACTCTCCATTTCTGGGATGCTTATCCGTGGGATAAGCCACCATGCTGTGAGGAAGTCCAGGCCACATGGTAAAGCCACATGGGGAGGAGCTAGGGACCCATTAACAGCCAGCATCAACTGCCAGACGTGTAAGTGGGTTAGTCTTCCAACCTTCAAGTCTTGCACTCAGGCCTTGAACAACATGAAGCAGAAATAAGGCATCCCTGCTTTATTCTCTTTGAATTCTGGATCTACAGAATCCATGAGCATGATGTTTGTTTTATTTCACTACATCACTCATTGGTAGTAGATGGAACATTCCTAAATTTCTAATTTAGGTCTGGCACATTTAGGTCTGGCACATTAGGTCTAAATATTTGTTAGATTTATAAAATACCATAGCTAATGTATTATTCTTCTGGAATCTACCGCCTACTCTTTAGAAAAGTCCCACAACCTTCATGGGATATCTTCAATCCATGAGTGGAACAAGAAGTCACTCTCTCGTTTGCCGGTGAATGAAAGCCCCCAGATCAGAGGGGGCTCCTGTCCCACACAGCTCCTTGGAAAGTCAAGAGCTATGGATTCCCTGGAATCTACCCTCAAAGCAAATAAGGCCCTCATCCCTCTGTTTCCGAAACAAGAAGCTGTATTGTCCCTGGCTGCGGGTGCCATTTTGTTTTCCTCATAAACTGGGTAGTTCCAGGACAAAAGTGATATGGGGAGAAGCAGACATTTTCCAAACAGCACCTGCATCATCCGGTCTAAAAATAAATCCAGTAGGACTGGTTTTAGGAGAGAAGCCACTGCTAAAAATAATGCTTACACGTACGATGACATCAGCAGGTAACTGACCTGGGACCTGCAGGGCCCCAGCATCTAACCGACATCTTGAGCTCTGGTCTGCTTTGTGAGGTGATCAATCTGTCTTCACCCTCCGCCCACCTGGCCTTCATTTCAGGAGCCCAGGGCTGGGCCCGCTAAATTCAAGGAAAGGGGCTGGCAGAACATAGGGAAGCTCTGGATTTAGAGCTTTCATTAAAAAATAATATGGACTTTTCTATTTCAAGAACAGAATGTCTAATAATGCTGCTGAGGAGAAGCTCTCCAGGACCTGCTTTGATGGTAAATACAAATGGTTGTAATTAGCATATTAATAGCGGTTTGATTTCTAAGGCCGTAGGAAAGCATCTCTCCAGCCTCTACAATACTATCTGCTTGGAGGTAATTACAGAACAGAGACAGAGCCCCAGAGGGCGGAAGCCTGCTCTCCCAGTTCTGCCTCCAACCAGCCTGCAGCCAAGTTTCTGGTCAAGAACATGGAGGCGTGGAGGCTGATCCCCCCAACTCGCACCCATTTTAGCCCTAACCTTTCCATGGTCTGACGACCTGATTCCCCAAAAGTGAAAACAGAGCATTTCAGACCCAAAAGAACCCAAGTCCCAGCAGAGAGGGCCTCACACGAATAAGGATCGACGGTCTATGAACGAGTCCCAGGACAACTTTGGCAACTCACAAGAGCATCACTGATTTTTAAAGAACGCTCCAAACCTGATATTCCCGGCAACCAGCCAGCACGCACCCCAGAGAGCTGAGAAGTGAAAAGCAAACTCAAGCCCCCAGGGCCGGGGTAGGGGTGGGGGTGTTGAGCCAGGAGGGTGGTACCAGGCAGGCTGCGGTTTCCAGGTCTCACACCTGCCCGCGAGCTGCACAGAACACCCCATGCCCACCTTGGGGCTTGTGAGCACCACGCTGGGCTCTAAATCACAGCCCAGGATTCAGTGAAAAGCGGGCTCTGTGGCTCCTGCTCTAATTGCTCTGGAGGGTGGAAGGTTGGGGAGCTGGATTCGTTTGTACTCAAGAGTGGTTCTTGTCTTTTCAAAGGCGCTGATGGGATGGCAGGCAGGGGCCGCCTCAGGCAGCCTAATTGCTGCAACTCTACACTCCAATTAGACACCAAATGAACGTGCTGAATAATCCAAAACAGACCAAGCTTCCAGGGACCACTCCAAAAGCAAGTTCCAGTCCAGAGGAAGCTTTTTCCTCTCCACTCAACTGCTGATCCCTCTAACGCCTCAAACTGGAAGCAGCTCACTCTACTGGAAGAGCCTCGAGGACAGGACGTTTGTCCTCCACTTGCATATGCCTAACACACAGTAGGCAGCCTCCCTCAGAAGCAGAGCTGGCCAGTGAGATGAGGACAAGCTGTTAGGTTCAGCTTCCAGAAAAGCTCCTTCAAGGTCATTGACTCATTGAGAGAAATGTGCATTTTTCCTTTTCCTTCTATTCTTTTTTTCTACTGCTTGGAACAAGAATGTGATGGCTGGAGCTGCATCAGCCGTAGTAGGCCATGAGGTATCTGGTAGAGCAGAAAGATAGAAGGAACCCGGGTCCTTGATGACACAGAACTGCCAATCCACGGCCTACTTCCAGACTTCATTTACGTGAAGAAAAAATGTGCTGTTCAAACCATCCAGCCAGTAATCATGGGTATCTAATCCATGGGATACTTGCCTTACCACCAAAACTTCCCTTGCTAAATCCTACCACTCAGTCAAGGCTGCCTCCTCTAGGAAGTTTTCTTGGATTATACCCGAGGGAGGGAAAAATCACTTCTTTATTTGACCAACTGCAGTACTTTGTCCTCTAGTATAGCAATTAAGAATTTATTATCAGGAGCCAGACAGACCAGAGTGCAAATCCAAGTTCTTCCACTCACTAGTCATGTGACTTAGGGCAAATCATTTCACCTCCTTCAGACCCAGTTTCATCTGCTGTCAGTTGGGATGGAAACACTACTGGGAGCTTCCTGAGGCTTGGACCATAATATAGGTAAAGCCCCTGGCATTCCATCAGCACACAAAAAACATGACCCTAACTTTTGTAGCCGTCAGCCATTTGTTTTTTTTTTTTAATTTTTTTTTCAACGTTTATTTATTTATTTGGGACAGAGAGAGACAGAGCATGAACGGGGGAGGGGCAGAGAGAGGGAGACACAGAATCGGAAACAGGCTCCAGGCTCTGAGCCATCAGCCCAGAGCCTGACGCGGGGCTCGAACTCACGGACTGCGAGATCGTGACCTGGCTGAAGTCGGACGCTTAACCGACTGCGCCACCCAGGCGCCCCAGCCATCAGCCATTTGTAAGCCACTGTTGTGATTTTTTTTTTTTTTTACCACAATCTTTGCCATAATCTATCAACTGCAACAGTTCCCATTACTATAGCATTGACTCGATATTTCTCTTTAACTTGGGTGTTAATGGACTCTCCCTCCTACCCGTTAAGCAATTATATATGGGAAATTACTGCTGTTACTGTGTATTTTTTATGACATACATTTAAAAAAATGCATAACCACGGGGCACCTGGGTGGCTCAGTCGGTTAAACGTCCGACTTCGGCTCAGGTCATGAACTCGCTTTCGTGAGTTCAAGCCCCTCATTGGGCTCTATGCTGACAGCTCAGAACCTGGAGTCTGCTTCAGAATCTGTGTCTCCCTCTCTCTCTGCTCCTCCCCTGCTTGTGCTCTCTCTCTCTCTCTCTCAAAAAATAAAGATTAAAAAATTTTTTTAAATGCATAACCACAATTCAGTGTGCTACCTACAATCATCACACACACCAAGAGGAGACTGCCACCCTTCCTAATGTCATTCTGATGTACTGAGGAATGAAGTGTACATATATCTTCTGTTCCCTATCAACCAGGTTCCTTGAAGATGGGGCCTGGGTGGCACTTGTCTCTGACTAACCCAGCATCCGGGACACAAAGGAAGTCCATTGAATATCTGCCTAATGAGCAGGAAAACATTCTCTCGCAGCCATTATCGGAGAGCCCAGCCAAATTCCATTCCAGCACATTCTGAGGGCCATCCAAATTCTTCTGCTGTGCTGGGTGCATGTTCCATAAAAAAAAAAAAAAAAAAAAAATCACACGTAAGAAGTGGGCTGTCAGCAAAGGAGTTTGCAATTGTTTCCACAAACACTTCCATGAACCTTAAATGGCTTTTGCTGTGATGGGATTTGATCCATTTCATGACGCCCTGGAGAGACCCGTACTGGCCAGTGAAACGTGGCAGGGACTTCACAGAAAAGGGGTCCTTCTCTGAGCTGGACAAAGAGGACCTTCTGAAGGAGTTTTGCACCTCCTCAACAGCTGAATACATTCTTGCAAAATATTTCCATCAGGGAGTGTAGTCCTTATGCAAAGCAAGAGGTGGTGACATTATGAAAACACTGGATCCCAAATAAAATGTGAGCTGTAACAAGGATGCAGCAGGACCCAGCTTCTGGGTCAGAGATACTTCTTTAACGGTGGAAATGTTTTCACGGAAAATAGTGCACTTGGCCTGTTAAGGAGTAACCAAGCAAACTGTTTTGGGGCATAAGGAAAATGTTTCATTTGGCAAATCCACGCCAATTCAGACTGGACGGTAACTCACTTCTCCTACCACCTCCACCTTCCGTGGCCAAATGGCAGACTGAAAAAAATGAGGCAGGTGTAGGCAGGAGGTTGCTTGGAACCAAAGGACCAGAGACTACATGCCGGAGCTGGAGGATGCCTGCCTGGCGGGAAGTTCATCCAGCAGGAATGAGCTCGACCCTCCGGCCCCATCTGCACTGTGTCCTCACCCCATCCTGGGTAGGATGCTGGGTGGTCGTCACAACCATCAAGCCCCGAGAGGCAGCAGTACGAAGTCACATCCAGGCCTTGCCTGTAAACCGGCAACTTAGGCAACTTCTGGAAGCCTGATCTGAGAAGGAAAATGCCACTTCCCGCAGGATTGCTGGGGGACGGCGTGCACTCAGGGGGTGTGAGAAGAGCTTGGCATGCTGCACAGCAGCCCGCTGCCTCTACAGGGAGGGACACAGCCACACTCAGAGCAACAGCCAGCGGCATGTGGCCTGAGTGAGCCCCACAGGCCGGTGGTGATTTTGAGGATCATAGGAAACCCTGAAATTCAGAGGCATAGGAGGTACCAGTAGCTGAATCCATCCCCGAAGGGAGAGCTGACTTTCCCCATCCAGACCCAACTGGGAAAATAATTGGCTGCCGGCCAGAGACCCTGGAGAGGCTATCAGCAGAACTGCAGAGAAACAGACCCCACACCCACTGCTGATGACCATCTCAGGCTCCGGAGAGATGCCTTCCACCCTGCAGGGGCCCGCCCTGTGCACAGGGGTCTTAGTTGAAGTTCATGGAGATGCCAGGAGGTGTTACTTATTTACTCCAGAGTACAGGTGAGGAACTGCTTCCTAAAGGTGACAGACTTGCCCAAGGCTGTTCAGCGAGTAAGTGGAAACACAAAGAAGGAGCCTAGTCTGGTTTTAAAGACATCGCTCTCCTTCCAGAACCATCAGAAATATGATCTAACACAACATCCCCTCAGCCCACCTCCCAAAGCCCCTGCCTGTAGCTGCCGTCTTCCTTTTGTTTGCCTTTGTAACTGAAGCCTCGGCCCAGGGCTAACAGCCCGTCAGCTCCCTCCCTGTGTCCTTCCCACACGAGCTCGCCTCTGAACTCAGCAAACAGACTATGTTTAACCTCTCCACCTAGAGCTCATTCTCTCAAACTCTCTCTCTTGTGATGGCGGGGCATGGGGAGAGCAAAGGGGAGGGGGGAGGGGAGTGGAGGACGGTGGGGGATAGCTCGCCTCTCCTCCCTTGCCGACATCTCAAAAAAAATCTATCTCCTGTGGTGGCCAGGACTTCAAGAGCAGCCCTCCTGCAGTGGCCGAGGGAGTGAGTAGAGCAGTCCTGTCATCTGCTCCCCGCACCCCCCGGCCCACCCCCAGCACACACACACACTCCTATTTATACCTCTCAATCCAGCTATCTCCTTTTTTGGACAATGTTGCCCTTTGGGCTCACTGTGGAAGCTCGGTCCTTGTGTCTCTTTACCAGGAAGGGGGAAGCACAGCGACGAATCAAACATAGTTGGCCTGCCACCAGTGCTGCAACTGGTGATGTCTGATTGCCCTCCGGGGCACCTTCCGATGGCCTGTCTAGCCAAGCTCTCAGCCAGTTTCTCCAAAACGGGGAGCTGGCCAGCTGTGCCCAGCTGGGCAAGCTCGGAGCCCCTCCAGGCCGGCTGTCCCATGGCCAATTCCGTGGAGGCCCACTGCATCTTTCTGCCTGAGCAACCCCACCTCGCAGAGCCCCGGGGCAGGCCCTGGCCTGGCACAGCCCGGCACGCTGGCCTGTCATAATACAGTCCTCTCCTGTGTTCCTCGAAGCCAGCAAGGACGGCTGCCACTTTGCCCACTCTGCAGAGAGGAGGAGCAGGACTCAGACACACGCGCTTCCCAGGGGCAGCAGGAAGATTTTTCACCTCTTCATGTCTAATGTACGGAGTTATTTATTGCTCACTTACTTTCCAAAAAGGACCCACAGTGTGTCCCAATAAAAGCACGTTTCAATTGTTCAATGAAAGACAAAGAGCAGGAAATAAGCAGCGAAGAGGGAGAGGAGAATAAAATGAGCTCCCCCCAGGACATCTGACGCAGGAGCGCTATGCTTTCAGCATGAAACTTGGCTGTGGGCTTCCTCGCAGTTTGAACAAAGAGAGACACGGGTGGGTGGTTCGTGGTGGTGCTGGGCGGGGAGGAGAAACTAAAACCAGGCTTCAGGGCTCCTCATTAAGTAAACAGACCACGAGCACCTACTGTGTGCAGGCACTGGCTACATGTCGGGGGCACCGGGGACTGAGATTCAGCCCCTGTCCACGAGGGCAGGCAGGCAAAGTTTGGTGGGCAAGCGAAGAGCTCCCGGGGGGTGGGGGGCATCACTCTGCCCTCCCTCAAGTAGCAGGGATGGTAGAGACGCTGGAACAGAATGGGACAAAGGACAGTGTCACCTGGCATCCCCTGGCCACACCCACAGGAACAAGTGAGGCTGTCCTCTCCACTTGCCAAGCTGTCCTTGTCCCCTAGGGAAGGTTCGGAGCCTAGGAGAAAGGCCTTCCCTAAATCGGAGTGCACA